TGAGCCAGCTGTGCACGGTGTCGAGCTGCAAGAGCATCACTCATTCCCAGGCTGACTTCCCACATCAGTCCCAGTGACTGCGAACTGGGGGGATTTGGGAAGGAATCAGGGATGGTGAGTGAGGGGTTGCAGTGCAACAATCAGCAAAAAGCTGCACACAAAGCTCTGGAGTGGCTGCATTTCCATGCAGGTTGTGAAGCCTTCCCTTATTTCTTAGTGATGCTGTCAGATGCTTTGAATCCTTGGATGAAAGGCACTAAATTAGGACAGATCGTTATTTCCTGTTTTCTGGTTTATATTTAGAGAGAAGCTGATACCTCTGGCAGCTCTAACATTAAAAACAATCTTCTCTCCTGTTTCTAACAGGTCTCTACTGGAACCTCAGCTCCAGAGGGTGAAGGGTGGTGGGAGCCCTCTGAGAGACGGAGAGGAGATGGGCTGAACACCCAGCAGCCCTTTTCCTCTGGAATTCCAGAGCTAGCAGCCAGGTCTTTGGAATGGACAATTCATTTATTTACTTTTGCCCTCCTGATGCCCTTTGCAGGCAGCAGTGGCACCTGTGCCAAGGAGCCCTGGCTGGATGCCAAACCCCCCAGACATTCCCCTCTCTCCCCATCCTCCCCAAATTTAATTTCTCCCCCTCTCCAGAGGGCCTGGATGCTGAGGGCTGGGTTCTGGCTCAGCTTCCACTCTCCTGGGCTGGGGGATGTCCCATCCTGACCCCTCCTCAGGCACCTGCAGGAGAAGCTGCTCCCTCAGCATTTCTGCTCAGGTCTGGCCATGGCTCTTGGTGTTTCTCTGCCTGCCTCGGGGGATGCTATTGAATGAGCCTTATCTCTCCCGAGAAAACATCGATCCCGAGTTTTAATGGCTTTCCACTAACGAGCCACAATGAGTGTCACTGGGCACCGCTGCTGGAGCTGATAAAAATGGGAATGCTCAGCCCCACAGCTCTGAAAAGGACTTTCTCCCCCAGTGCACGTCCCTTCTACAAGATAAAATAAAATAAAGGATGAAAAAGAAAGAGAAAGAAATAAAGGCAGAAGATTTTGCTGCTCTTTTCACCCAGTAAGTCTGAGGACAGATTTTCAATTTGTTCACTTTCTTTACAGCTCTGGATTTGCCACAGGGAGGGAGAGATGAAGGAAGGGGACAGGAGATTAAATGCATTCTTTTATTTTGGGAAAGTCATCCTAAAGGGGGAAAAATAATATTAAAAAAGAAAAAAAAAAGTAGGAAAACCCTGACATCAGGGAGACAGGACTCAATTAAAGCAAGACCTTGAAATACATGAGGCAGCAGCGCCGAGCACGGGTCCATCAGCCATCCCTGTCAGGCTCCGGGGGCTGTGTGGCAGCAAGATCCATCACCTGGGGAAATAACCGCGGTGCTTACATCTTCAGCAGCTCCTTGATCTGCTGATAAACCCGTTAGGGGAAATAAATGGGTTTCTCCTGCCCGGACTGTCCACATCAGGGATGCGATTTGCAGTTTTACCCGGCCGCTGATAAGCCGAGGATCAGGAAGGAAAAGCTGCTTTAAGCATTCGCTAATAAAGTCCCAGATAAGAGCGGAGCAGCCCCAGGACCTCCCCAGGCTGGGATTTACAGCCCCAGGCTGGGATTCACAGCCCCAGGTTGGATTCACAGCCCCAGGTTGGGATTCACAGCCCCAGGTTGGATTCACAGCCCCAGGTTGGATTCACAGCGCCAGTCTGCTCGGGCCCTGGGGGGACCCATCCTCTCCCCCAGCCCCCCTGCACAGGCAGGGCTTGGTGCCATCAATATTCAAAACGGAGAGGGGCAAAAACCCCAATCAACTCCATAAAGAAAGTTCTGGGTGGAATTACTTAGAAGAAGAGTGAGGCTCAGAAACATAAATCGCTCCTGGCTTCGTTTCTAGGTAAGGAAAATGGATTTCCAGAACAATATCATTCTTTTGACACGCCTGTCCTGGTTTCACAGCTGCCAGAAAACAGGATAGGAAACAAATCCAAGACATTCCAGGATGTTCTGCTGGCTGGATGTCACCAGAGATGCCACCAAAAGATGTGGGACGGAAATGTCCCACCCTGAGGGACCCCAGGGGCTCCCGATGCCCCCACTTTAGTTATTAAACAAACTGTCCCACCCAGCAGCATCGGAGAGTGCAGCTGACAGACAACTTATTTCATTTTGTTTGGGTTTATTCATAGTTTTGAGAGCATTTCCTCTTCTTTTCCCCCTCCCAACTGGGGATTTATTCTTTCCAATTAGCTGTGGGCATCAGAACCTCTTTCATAGGGCAGCAGCTCTGCTTCCCTTCAAATCTCTTTCATGCTCCTGCTTAATAAATTGTGAATTTGATGTTTGTGTCCTCAGGTCTCCCTTCCAAATGGAAATGTGTCCTGGCCAGAGACCAGGCTGCTCAGGAAAGAGTTTGGGAAGGCAGTTGGGATGCCCAGTGATCACCAGGCACAGCCAGGGCAGAGAAAAGCATTTCCAGGTGACAAAGTCCCTCCAGGAGCTGCTGCTGACCCAGCAGCTCCATTCCTTGGTGCCACTGTGCCCCTGGCACACACACAGCCCCCACGTAACAGATATTTTGATGCCAATTCTGCACCCAAAAGTGATGTTAACACCCAGCACTGGCATTCCCAAGGCAGCCCAGCCTGAAGCTTGCCCTGCCATGGGGTTTTACAGACCAAGGCATGTGGGATGAGGCAGCAGGGGTGCCCCAGCAGCCACACTCTGGTCCCTGTTACATCCAACAGGCATGACTGATGCTCCATCACCAACAGGCAAAGGAGAAGCTTTTTCCCCAGGCAGCCCCTCAGCACTGATGGGGCAGAGACATGACAGGCAATAGCAGAGCCTCACTCAGCCCCATCACCCAAATTTACAGGCTGACTTGAGTTCCAACAAGGTTCCAGACAGATCATTATTTCCCATGACAGCGGCGAAGGTGAGCCAGCCACCTTTTATTTCAGCCTGGAGAAAAATGCTCCTGCCAGGGGATAATTTGGGCTCTCTGCAGTGGGAAGCAGCGCTGGATTGCTGAAAGGTGAAGGCTATTTTAAAAGCAGCTGAGCAGAAACAGTGGAAAAAGCTGCCCAGGGAGCTGATGTATAACAAGCGCTGCCTCACGAGGCATCCCGAGCCTCTCAGTCTTTAAAACTCGCTTAGACCTCCTATAAAATCTGGTTTTATTTAGTGTTTACAGCCCTGGGAGGTGAACTGCTGGTGGTTCCTGCTGGCAGACCCCCCGTGCCTCTCCCAGCCCAGCTGCTGCCCACCCAGCACTGGCAGCAGTCTGTGCCAGGGGACGCTTTGAGGCCGAGATGAAAGGTGCTGTGGAGCGGTGTTGCTGCTCAGCTCTGCGAAGAGAGGCTTGTGCTGCTTTTATTTAGACACACGCTGGCTGCAAGACACAAAAATTACTTAATCAATCCTTCCCCTCGGCTGGCGTCACAGGCAGGATGGAGGCTGCCCACGCAGTTTGGAGCTGAAGATGATAAATTGCTCTGGGATAACGGCAGCGTCTCCGTCCAGGGCAGGATGTGGCCAGGCTGACATGGGGGGTGCCCAGAGGACACAGCACCCTGTGGTGACACAGCAGGGACATGGGGAGGGCAGGCTGGATGTGCCAGCGGGTGTGGCACAGCTCCAGCGAGTGGCTGGGGCACAGGGCAGACCTCATGCACTCATCCTGCCTCTGCTCTCATCAGTCTGTGAGACAGAGGGGACAATCCTGCCAGGGATCCTGCAGTGCCAGATCAGGCTGCCACCCCACCAGCCTCCCTCGCCAGCCACGCCAGGAGCAATCCCAGGAGCAAAAAAATGTTTCTGGCCCCTGATTTTCCAGCCACAGGTTTTATGGAGTGCAGGAATCTCCCCTTTCAACCTCACAAGCAGCAGCAGGGCTGAGCATCAACCTTACAGCAACACCTTGCCCTGGTGAGCAGCCCCACAAAAACAAACCAGCTCACCCCAGCCAGCACCAACCCAGCCAGGGGATGTGCCAGGAGGGGAAACTTCAGCAGTGGGGGGAAACGCCCTCAAAGCAAGAGGAGCAGCATTAAGGAAAGGGAAGAAGTAAAGAGTTCTATGGAAGATGGTTGCTTGGAGCTCACCTCTTGCTGTGCTGGCAATATCTGGGGCACACAGAGTCAGGATGTTGCTCTTCAGCTGCTCTGCCCTTGAATTCCCACCAGGAATTCCTCCCCTCTGCCCACTCACCTGAATCCCGAGCAGCCCCTGTGCCCTCACCAGCAGCTCCCACCATCCCTGGGGGGATGCTTAGCTCCATGCATGGACCAGCAGGGTGAAGAGCAGCCTGGAGGCTGGGGGGATCACTTTGGGCACCTCTGCCCTGCCTGAGGACCAGCAGCTTTCCCAGGAGCCAGCCCCATCCCACCCTTCACTGTCCAGCCCACACTGGCTCTTCCTGGGGGTACCAGGGAATGCTCCTGGCAGTCCCCAACGTGTCCATCCAACCCAGCCACTCCCTCCCCAGCTCCACATCCACAACAGCCACCAGCATCACCCCTGCCCCCAGCAGTGCAGCTCTCTCTCTGCCCAAGAACTCCCACAGAAGGGCTGGGTGTGGATTCCCCTTTAATTCACCACTTGTCAGGGGGAGGGTTAAAAAAAAATCAATAAATAAAACAACTTAGGATGCTTGAAGAAGATGAAAACCCTGAAACTGCAGTCTGCTGGTGGCTTGTCCCATTGCCAGAGGAGGGGAAGGGAGTTCCCAGCCCCTCTCTCCCCACCACCCCATCCCAGTGCCACCAGGTCCAGGTGGGTTCGGATGCGGTCGGACGATGCTCCTCGGGAAGAAAATGACTCCAGAGTTCAGGCCATGGTCATTCACAGTTGGCTGGTGGATGAAACAACCCCCAGAGTCCGACAGCCCCGGCTCAGCCACCGGCAGGGACCCGTCCCAGCTCCTCGGCCGCCGCAGAGTTCTGAGGAGAAGCCACGCGGTGCCGGTGTGGCAGGCGCGGTGTGGCCGGCCCGTCACAAGCAGTCCCTGCACAGAGCCACCTGTCCTTGGCGGAAATCGCGGCAGGGACACAGGCGCCGGTACTTGGCGTTGGAGCCGGCGCAGCTGAAGAGCAGCGGCTCCTTCTGGAGGTAGCACTCGTGGACGTTCTCGGCCACCGCGGGGTACAGATGGTTCATCTCGTACTCGGTGCTGTCGCAGGCGATGCTGAGCCTGGGGGCCAAGGCAAGGTGGTCAGGTCAGGTGAGGGTCTGCTGGGGGGTCACTGAAGGGTTTTTGTCCTTCCTGGGGAGGTTCCTTTGCTAAGGGTGGGGCAGGTCTTTGCTGAGCTCTGTTTGCCACCCCTTGGCTACATGTGAGTGCTCGTCACCAGCCCAACACGCCACGCAGGAAGGGGAGACCCTGGCAACTCAACCCTGCAGCCCAGAGACTGCCCCAACCCCACAGATGGCTCAGAATCACCCACAAAACCCCACCCAAATCCTAGGAGCTGGACTCAGTGATCCTTGTGGGCCCCTTCCAGCTCACGATGTTCGATGGCTGTCTTACAGCCCCTTGCTGACCAACAGCTCTGTCCTCTCTCCATGGACACCTCCTACTGCAGATAACACTCCCTGGAAGGGCCAGGGGATCAGTGAATTCCCACATGCTCCCCGTTAGCCGGGATTAACCACAAAACTGGGCTGGGCAGCAGCAAAAGCCCCGAGGAGCAGCAGAAATGCACAGCGTGGATTTTAACACCCCTCCCCTCCCAGACGGAGCAGCAGCACTGGCACTGCCCTCCCACCAACCCTTCCCAACTGACAAGTCCCTGAGTTAGCTCGGTTTAAGGTCTGGAGGAGGATGTGCAGGGGGAAGGAGTGAAAGGCAGGCCCCAGCTCTAATTTATCCTATAAAAATGTCAGCGGGATGCGCGGCGCCTGCCTGACCAGCGTGACAGCACCAGCAACGCTCGCATTTTAATTGCCCAGAGAGCAGCACGGAGCCCAGTGGCAGATTTATACTCTATTAAAACTTCACCACTGTGTGTTCAAAATGCAGTTTTATAGAGAGAGACATTAAAAAGGAGAGGAAGGGGAGAGAACATGTGGGAGGTGGAGAGGAATGGGGTCGGAAAGAGGCGGAACCGTGGTTGGAAACGCTGTTGTTGCCTGCTGAAGAGTGAAGCTGGGCCCTGACTTGGGCATGAAGGCTCATCACTGGGATTTTGGGAGGGGGAACATGAGGAAAAATGGGTGCAGGGGATGTGGGGAGCAAAGGGAACATCGTCTGTCTGGTGGCCCTCCCCACAAGCTCACTGAGAAGGCCCCAACTCACTGGAGAAACACCTCCTCCTTGTTGAGGAACCTGAAGAAGGTGGGCTCGCAGACCAGCCCGTGCCGCCGGCACGTCTCCGTGCACGTGTGCTGGGGCTCCGACACCCACACCTGCAGCGAGGCCACCGGGGGCCACGCCTGGGGAGCCCTCCCGGCGCTGGGGGACCACACCAGGTGGGTGGAGTTGGGGGACAGGGCCAGCAGGCTTGGAGGGCTTTGCATAGCAGGAGTCTTGGTCTTGGGAGACGGAGGAAGAGATGATGTGGTGCAGAAATCCTGGTGGCAGAGGAGATAATGGGTCAGCGCCCTGAGATGTTAACAGCAGGGAAGGGAGGCCACTGGTGGGACAGGAGGACACTTGGGGTGATGACTTTGCTCATCAGGTTGAGATCACTTGCATGCAGAGATGGCATCTCCTGCTGTGGGGGATGAACCTCTTCTCTCACCTCTTCTCCCACTGCTGCCTTATTCTCTGCAGCAGAAAGGCCCTGACCCAGCCCCGGCACCCCCAGGTATCCTCCACCAACCCCCAGCACCTCTGGTCCACGACAAGCCTCCCCCAGCCCCATCTCCTGGTGCTCTCTGCAATCAGGGCACAGCCTGCACAGTGCCCATGGCAGAACAGGGATGCTCCCCAGGGAGAAGAGGGAAATTTGGCCATGAGGACAGAGATGGTTCCCCAGGGAGGAAAGGGATTCTCCCCAACCTGGTGCTGAATGTAGGCGTGGATCCGCTCCAGCATCCCCTCGCAGGTGTACTCGTAAGGCAGGTAAGGGTCCACCTGTGAAGGGCAAGAGCAGAGCACAGGCAGCAGCTGGGGACAGCCTTGCCCTGCCCCTGAGACAGCAGAACCTTGGGCACGGCTCCCCCACCCACCAGAGCCCACAACTCGTGTCTGCCCACCAAAGCAAGCAGGGAAGAATCCTAGGGCTGGAGAGACCTCATAAAGTGATAAAGAGAGAGGAGTACTTTGGGTTCAACCTACTGGTGCAAATGAAATCACCCTGTTCCACTTTAGTCTACCTTCTCTCCACTTTTAGTGAGTTATAAAATCAAATCAGTTTTCATCCAATAGGTCACTTCAAACTAAAGCACAAACTGTTCCAGCCCAACAAACACTCTGCAGCTGTGGGCAAGGGTGGAGCAATCTTAAAATACAGGGGAAGAGGTAGCATTGGAAAAGATGCCAAGCTAATCCAGAGCAAGAGCATCTCGGTGCTGCCCCAGGTCTGGTCTGGCATCCTCTGTTCCCCTGACCACTCAGAGAGGAAGCTCCAGGCTCCGAACCACAAAACTGGCCAGGAAAGGACAGAGCTGGGACCGGCTGTGCACAACCCAGGGAAAAGCATCTCCCTTTTCCCACTGCCACATCACTGAGGGTTTGCTGCCCAGTGCAGGTGGCTGTGGTGGGGTGGAAGCCATCGTCTCTGCCAGTCCCAGGGGCTTGGTGGTCCCTGCTGGGATGGGGCAGGAGCTGGGTGAGCACTGGGATGGAGCAAACACTGGTTTCCACATGGATGTCAGTGCTGTCCCTGCACCTCCACGTCCAGAACTGCTATTTACAGAGTCAGCAGTGCTCAAACCATGGGATATTTTCAGTGTGGGTTACAAAATGCTCCTGCTCTCCAGGAGACTCTGCCTGCCCTCCCTCCTCTGCACAGTGGCTCAGCAGTGTCCCCACATGAGCTTGTCCATGGCACTGTGGTGGCACAGGTTCCAGGGCAGGCAGGAGCAGCCTGGAACAGCCAGGAGCAGCCTGGAGCAGCCAGGAGCTGCCAGCCAGGCTCCCTGCCTTCAGCAGGACCAGTGCCTGCCCCCAGGTTTGCAGTGATTTTCCCCATGGGAAGAGCACTGCCACAAGGGCTTGTGATTGATGCCTCCCTTCCCTCTGGAACAAATTATTTTTTAAGGAATTTTCTGCCCTGGGAAGACATATTTTTCCACAGTCCCTTATTTTTCCAGAGAGATGTTAGATGAGGTGCAGGAGGTTGGTGCATGGAAGGGGCCAGTCCTGGGACCTCCTTTCCCCTTGTGCATCTCTGCAGAGCTTTTATTCAGAAGGATTATAAGCAAAACCACCCAAAGATAATTAATCCAGAAAACTGATGCTTCTATTTTCTGAGCTCTGCACCTCCAAAATAGCTATTTCCTTTTGAAGTACCTGTCAAAACCAAGCTCAAAGGCTCAGTCTGCTGAGAACCCTCTAAGCATCTCCCTGCCATAAATATCCCACCTGAGATCTCAGACAGGCTGGAAAGCACAGCTGTTTCATCTAATTACAGATGTGCACGCTAATCAGGGCTGACACAGTGACAGGCACCAATCCTGCCTCTGAATTCCTGATGGGCTCTCAGTTAACTGGGGCAGAGCCCTCTCAAAGCAAAATTGCCCGTCTGGGTTTCAGAGCCAGGCTGGGACTGCGTGGCACAGGTTTGGAGGAGACAAAGCACCCCTTGCTCAGCATCACCAGTGCTCAGTTTCATCTCAACCCTGCTTTCATGGGGGGCCTTTCCCCTTTGCCAGGCACAATTCCAGAAGCAGCCTCATCCCCCAGAACACTGCAGCACCTCACACAGCCCCTCCTTGTGCCTTCACATGTATCCAGGGGTGCAATCCCACCTCTCCAAGGCTCCCAGGGGCTCTGTGGGATCCCTGGGCATCAGGAGTGGGCTGGAGCCCACTGCAGCCCCTGCTCCTCCAGCCCCTCTCCCTCTCAGGGGTCCCCCAAAGGCTCTCACTTCCCTCTGCTCCCCTCTCCAGGTTTTGTTAGGATTCAGCTTGCGCACTCAAGACTGAGAAAATGCCAATTTTGAGAAGATAATTGTTTAATTAAGACCTGACAGGCTCGGCCTCTTCTCAACAGCCAAGCTGTTAATGGCACTCCTCACGGGGAGCTCAGGATGTCCCCAGAGCCCTGGGAGGGAGGAGGAGGAGGAAGAGGAGGGGGGTTATGAGGTGTGGAACACTGCATCCCACTGCAGGATGATGCTGGCATGGGAGGGAATGGAGGGGTTGGTAAGATGGGCTTTGCCATCCTGTGGGGAACACAGAGCCAGAGCTTCCCAGCCCCAGCGCTCCCTCCATCAGCCAAGCAGGGAGTTACTGGTGTCCCATGGGGCTGCCACCACGAGAGCCCTGGGTTCAGAGTCTCCAGCTGGAAGGGAATATGAGGCCTCCTTCATTCAAAAGAAAAAGAAAGAGGGGAGGAAAAAAATCTGAACGTCATCAGACAAATAAGTAGAAAAATAATGCAATTCTGTGCTGGCACGTAACAGCAGGCTGGAACATTTTAACCAGCTATTTTCACTGTGATGTTTAATGTGCCGCTCTTTCAGGCATAGTCTGAAATGTATAATTTTCCATTATAGTCCTGTATGTTTGACTTTAATATAATGAAGCCTTCTCCCTTCACTACACCAGAATATTGGGTCTATTAAATTGCTTGTGCGAGGACTGGTTTTGACAATGGGAAAAGCTGAAGGCCCAGAAAATGGTGGTGCTTGCTAACCTCTCTCCTTCTCCAGCCTCTAACCCCAGGATTAGAGACAGAATCCATCACTGGGACAAGCCTCCAGCATCACCTTTCCCAGGGGGACACCACCCCCTGGCCCTGTGCTGAGATTTCATCTCTGGGGTAGAGGGGTTTGGTGCTTCCCTGATTTTAACTTTCCTCATAAATAGGTCAGGGATGCAAAGAATCAGGGAAAGCCAGAACTGCTCCAAGTGAGATGAACAGCAGAGACACAGCCTGCCAAAAACCTTGCCCAGCAGCTGCAGGGCAACCTGGAATGGGTGTCACCTCCAAAAGGATGAGATAGAGCAGCACAAGGGCTGTTCTTGGGGGAAAAGAACACAGATTGCAAACCCCAGCCACGTCCCAGGCATGATTCAGCTCTGCCTCCAGAAGGAAGAAGTTTCTTTCAGGCAGAACTAGGTTGGGAGGGACGCCGGCTGCATCCCAACTGCTCTGTTTGCACAAAGGCAGCAGCCAGCCCTGCGCCTGGGGAGCTGTGCCAGCCCAGCAGGAGCTGTGGGAGGGCACAGCCTGCCCCGAGCTGCAGCCCTGCGGGTCAGCAGGAGAAACTGGGGTGCTGCAGTGACGCTAAAATATTGCTGAGAGCCAGTAAATCCCCCTCAGACCAAAGCAGGGAGAGCTCCTTGTCAGCTTGACCACACCAGAGTTACTGCCAGCTTCATGAACCAGCTCCCAGATTCCCAGACAGGCTCTCAGCATCCTGGTTCTCAGCCCCTGCTCCCCAGCACAGCTTCCAGCTGATGGCAAAGCCAGCTTTCCCACAAAATCCCATATCCCCAAAAATGTCTTACTGAGTTCTGGCCTAGAAGATACAAAACATCTCTGGGATATGTGATTTTACGGTCATACGAGAACAAAAATTCCCTAAATAAAATCAATTTCAGGTCAGTTTTCAATTTCCAATGTTTTCATCCATCAGGGAGAGGGAAAATGTTGTGTTTCAGGTTCAATCTGTCTGAGTTGGTGAAGCAAAGGGAAATGCATCATTTCAGATCCAGCATTCCTTTCAATAAATTGGCAGGGTATTTCCAAACAAAGGCAGGCAGATGGGAAACAACACCATAGTATTTCATTCCAGTAATTTTGAAATGAAATGTTTTGACAGAAAAAAAAAATAAATTGATGTTGGTTATTCTGAAACACAGACAAATTTATTAGATATTCCAATAACAAAACACCCCATTTTGCCTTCAGGGGGGAAAAAAATAGGAGTCAGTAAAATAATTCCTCCAAACTCCAGTAACTGGCTGGGAACAGGACCACTAAATTGCCCAGCTACCATCTTTCTGCTGCTCCTCCTGCTAATGCCCTTGTTTTCAGTTCCTGCTGTAACAAACAGTATTTTAAAGACAAGATACCCATGAACTCCTGGAGCCAAAGCCCATAATAAGGCTTTTAAACCTGTAAGGTAGGTCAATTTTTAGGCTTAATTGCCTTGACAACATCTCTAATAAAGCAGGCCTTTCTATTTAAAAGATAAAAAGGTGGTGGGGGGGAAGGAAAGAGGCTGCTGTAAGTTATTCACACTCACTCCCTGCTCTGCTCTGGGAGGATTTATACAATGTCTTTAAAACCCCAGGGAGGGGAGCTGTGGATGTTGTTGGGAAGGACCTCGTGTCGCAGAGCAAATGGGGCCTCAGCAACTGGAGTTGTTCATCTGGGGCAAATTTAGGACTCCCAGCAGCTGAGGGTAATTCCAGAGGCTGGGATGCTTCGTGGGAGGGCACTGCAGAGGGGGTCCTGATCCCAGGGTGGGAATGAGGAGAAGAGCTGGGACAGGAGCTTGATTTGGGGCAAAACCCCCTTTTTTGGGTTGGGCACAGCAGCAGCACACTCCAGTGAGTGCCCAGTTCTGGACACCAGCTCCTCCTGCCCAGTGCCCATCACACCACCAAACCCTTCCCTAAAATCCTTTTCAGTTCTTTAATTTTTAACCAGACCATTAAGCACCTAAATGACCTGGTACACATCCAGCCAACACTGCAGCAGCACAACACAGCTGCCCAGGACCCAGCACAGCCCTTTCTCCATCCTCAACCTCACCATTCTTTAATTACTTTAACAGCACCACAGCACCAGGCTTCACTGTTTGCTTTCTTCTCTTCTGGAAAAACTGAAAATTCCCTTCTCTCTCCCAAAACAGCTCCCAGCCTCCCGCCCACCGCAATTCCTTCACTTCAGGGCTGTCTCCAGCCCAGATGGTGGAGGGTCAAGCTCTGACAGCCTGGCAGCACAGCAGCAGGGATGTCATTATTTTTAATTTCATTCTAATCGAGATACAGGAATGAATGTGCAAAACAACAACTGTTTTCCTACGTCAGGTTTGATCAGTCTTTACAAACTCACGGAGAAAATGAGAAGAGCTGCAGTAAATCACCCTGGAGGAGGTGACACACAGGGTGATGGCACAGCCACATTACCTGAATCAGGTCCCCAGATTGCCACAGGCACCCACCTCTGCAGCTTCTAATGCAGGGGAAGCAAGGATGAGCCTTCTCTGACCAGCAGCACACCTGTGCCCCCAAATCCCACCCAGCACCGTGAACCCAGGGTTCCACAGCACATCCCTGTCCTCCAGAGAGGATGGCTCAACCCAGAAGCCAGCAAAATGGCTATCAGCACTTTCCTCCCCTCCAGGAAAACTGATTTGAATAATTTGGACAGTTTGAAAGGCTCCTGTCACAGGGTGAGAGGTAAATATTAATGAGGGAGCGTTTCTGGAGTGGGCACAGCAGGAATGCTGCTTTCCCTGGGGTTCTACATCCCTCAGAGACAGCTCCTGAAGTTATTCCCATCGATTTGCTCCATCCCAAGGTAAGGATCAGTGAAATGGGGGAAAGGCAGGTGCAGAGGGCTGCGGCTCTCTGGGTGTTCTGGTGAACCATCAGAAGTGCTGCTCGGAGGCCTGATGGGTGCCTGGGGATCACCCTTGGCATTGTGCCCGGTGAGGTGGGCTGGCAGGGCGGTACTTCTTTTGCTGTTTTCTATGGGAACTGAATGCCATAACAGGAAACAAGGGGAGCAGGAGTGAGGGGAGGCACTGCTCCTGCCACCAGGTCTTGTTGCCGGGTCACACTCCACCAGGACCAAGTGGCTTTCCTGCAAACCAGACTGTGCCGGGTGAGAGGGGTTACTGAGCCCCTTGTTTGTTGGTTCATCTTCATTTTCTGCTGATGTGAGTGGCTGGGATGTGGTGAGGGAGCCTGGTTTACCTTTTGGATGTAAGAAACTAAATGTTGATTTTTATTTCCCACCTCCTTTCTCTGGTAACTTGCTGAGAAGGCTGAGGGATTTCTTTAGAAATACACACACACGGAGCCCCTGTCCATATTAGACTCCGTCCAGATATCATTATTGAGATTTGTGCACTTCACACTAAGAACTTCATTATCACACCAGCTCCCAGAACTGCTCTACACCTGCAGCAGCCTCAGCCCCTGCCCCCAAACCTTATCTCAGCCTCCCCTTGCTCCAGACCTACCCACAGGATTCCCAGGGGATCCCTCAAAGGCACAGCTCTGCCCTGAGGAAACACCTACAGTGCTCCTGCCAGAGCAAGGTGGGAGCATGTGTGCCCCTGGGGCTGCAGGAAAGGATGAAAAAATCCAGAGAGGAAAAGAAATTAATGTCTGAAAAGGAGAGCCAGGCTCCAACATCTGCTGCTGCTTGTCCAAACCCAGCAGCAGGGAGGTCACCCCAAAACTGCTCCGAGCCATACCTGGGTCCTCATGATGGTTTTGATGGCAGCTTCGAACTCCTCGGAGTTGTTGTAGTCAACAGTCCACACGTGGGGCTTCCCGATGAACTCTTCAGCATACGGGTGTTGGGAGGACACCTGAAACACAGCAGTGCCAGCTTTGCAATCCCTGCTGGAACGGCTGCTGCTTCCTGCTGGCAGCTGGGTGGCAGAGAGGAGCAGCAGCCTCACAGCCACACTGGGCTTTAACACTGCACCAGGGAGTGCTGGAGGAAGGTTTCCTCTGAATCCAGGTGCTCCCCAACTTCAGGATGATGTGCTATAATTCCCACTGGGTTGGGATGCCCCATTCCCAGCAGCACTGAATTCCTTTTGCAGGCTGGAATATCTCCATCTCGGTAACACAGGAACAATTAAACCTTGACCTCAGCCACTCTGTGGGTCTGGATGGTAAAAACGCACCAAAGCAGGAAAGGCCTGTGAAGGCACCACATCTCCCAGCTCTAGAAACAAGGCAGGGGGAAAATTCATTGCCACTGAAGTCTGGGCGAGTCTGGCACTGGGGGACAGCAGTGCTGGAAGCTGCATTCCCCTGCTGCCACAGGCAGCCCACTCACTGGCACTCCACAGGTACTGACATCTTTCTTCTCCCTGGGCTGCCCACCCAGCTGATTTCTGAGGATCTGCCTCTTTTGTGTCAGCCCTGAGGTGCCTTTTCAGCCCTGCTCTCCCCTGGGAAGGGAACAGAGAGGTTGCTGAGCAGAGGAGGTGTTTTGGGGGCACCACAAAACATGGCAGAGGGGCCTGAACCGCTGCCAGCTGCAGAAGAAGAGCTGTGTGGTTTATCCTCCTCATTGCTGTCCCTCCTCATTTCTTTCCCGGCAGATTGATCACCTCCTTCCCCTCCGGCACATGAACACCCTGAGGCATTTCACAGCCCTCACCCCGGCTGCCAGCCGGCTCCAGGCTGGGGTACAGCCCCAGCCCCACCCGAATGGGTGTTAACTCCTAATTCGGGGGGTGCAGGACAGCCCAGTCCAGCTGCACAGCCCCCAGCTCGGTGAGGGAGCCTCACTCTGCATTATCCACTTTATTAATAATAAAAGAGGCAATTTTCTCAAGCCTTTAAGTTTTAAAGAGTTCCTGCTCTACTTAGATTGAATTCCCAGCCATGGGCAAGCCTGGAGGGATTTCATAGCCCTGCAGGTCCTGCTGTCCCTGTGGGCACAGAGGGATGAGCAGGGGAGCATCATCCTGGGAGCAGGGTGTGGGGGATGATGGATCTGGGCTCCTGCACCACCTTCTCCTTGGAAACCCCAAACCTAGAGCAGAGCCCCTTCTCCCCGAGGCAGATCCCCAGACCCCATCAGCAGACATCCACAGAGGAAATCTTGCCGAAGGAAGAAAGCACCCTCAGTGTGGCAGCTGCTCTTCCCCAGGCTGGCCCAAGCCCAGGGGTGGCTCCAAGCAGCCCCCACACCACATTTACCTCTCTGGATGTGGGTTTCCCGCGGAAGAACTCGTGGTTGAGGGAGCTGTGGGGAGGGTTGAACCGCGCCTGCAGGAAAACGCAGCCGTTGGCGATGGCCTCCAGCGGGGCCGGGCCCTCGTAGGGGAACCCAAAGCCAATGAAGAGCTGCAAGGCAGAAACACAGCGCTGCTGGGTGATTGTTCCCCACAGGGAAAGCTCCCAGATAAACCCATCAACATCCCCTCTCTGCTCCTGCACACCAGGCCTCTAATGGGGTTCGATAAACTGGGCTCAAAATTCCCCCTTTTCCATCAACCACAGCCATGGGGTGTCCAGGAGCTGCAGGTTCCTCCGTGGTGCTCACAACCATCACTTTGGCTCTGCATGGAGCAACTCGGCTTTGCCAAAGCTGTTTGGGCTGGTAAATCAGGAATATTTCCTCCAGGCACCAGCTGAAGGCAACAGGGATGCACCCACACCCACACACTCCAAGAATCTCGTTTATTTTTATCACAGCTATAAGGTGGGAAAGAAACTCCTCACCCCACTCAGCAATAAATGAATTAATGAGGAAACTTTGTGCTCTGCCTGTGGACAGTCTGCAAAGAGAAACCCATCAGACACATCTTGATCTGAAATGTGCTCTGCTCGGTTCCTGCCTAATTATCCCCGGCTGAGAGGCTCGTGGTTAATTATCCCAGCTGGGAGTGGCTGCAAGCCGGGGAGGAGCACGGGGAATGGAGGTCCTGGGATGCCCTCACCCACCTTTGCCTTCCTCAGCAGCTGCTGGAACTCGTGCTGGGGCAGCAGTCCGTGGTTCTTCACGAACGCCGGCACCTCGGGTGGCCTCTGTGTCTCGTAATAAACTGTGCCATGGATCTCCATGTACTTGTTGAGGATGGCCAGGAACTTCTCCTTGCCCTGGGGAGGAAGGCAGAGACGTGAACTACACCAAAGGATGGGTCTGACCTCCCCTTCACTGTTACGGGGGCGTTAACTCTCAAAATGCTGTCCCACAGCACCTGCCATGCTTCAGGCAGACACACAGCAGGGCAAAATCCCCACCCTCCCCTCCTCATTCCTTGGAAACACATCCTGGACTGCCCCAGGCTCCTGGAGAGCCTGAATGGCTGCAGGATCCATCACTCTGATCAAGTTCCTGCCTTCCCTGTCCCCTCCAAGGGCAACTTCCACTCTGGAGCTGCTGAATTAAAGGCTTCAGAGGGTTCAGAAAGAAGTCTGCAAAGACCAGAGCTTGCTAATAGCCTCTTATTCCAAGTAACAAGTTCCAAGGATTTTCTCATTCAGATTTAATCCTGTTTCACCACCTGGAAAATGAAGGGGGTCATCAATTTTCTTCTCTTGGAAGCTTCCCTCCTTTTGCTCCAAAGCAGCCTTTCATTTTAACAATTTGTCCGCTGCAGATTTTTTTTTGCTTGAAAAAACCACAAAGGGGCCATCCTTTGGATGCTGAATTTTCCAGTGCTGCTACATCCCCAAAAGAGCAAAGACCAGGGGGAATAAGGAGTTATAAATGGGGAATTTGAGAAAACTCTGTACATTGCCTTAAAGCCTCCTCGAATGCTGCATTTCTTCCCTCAGCCACGGATCCCTGGAATTCTCCAAGGCTCTAAGGCTTTCCCAGCTTATTAAAACTTCAGCTCCTATTGTGAGCCAGAGGCAAGAAGTTCAGAGGGGTAGGAAATGAGAAATAAAGGGAAGGGAGGTTTAATTAAATATTTCTAAATGTCAAAAACATCCTGCTTTGGAGGGGGTGTTTGGCCCCAGGCTGCTAAGTAAGCACCTGGCTCCAGGAGATGGAGGTGGTCTTTGCCTTTCTAGACCTCAAAATCACTGAAAATAAGGAAAAAAAACCCTCTATTCCCTTTTTTATTCCATGGAGTGATAAGATGGGAAGTAGAGGCCAGGCAGCCTGGCCTCAAGGAACCAGCAAGGCTCAGTCCCAGCCTCTTCACCCAGGAATAAATTACCCCAAATATGCAGTTTGGGGAAAACTGATGGTGTTTGTGAGTTCTGACTCAAAACAGCAAATGCCTGTAGCACTCAGAGTGGAAGGAAATGTCCATTCTGGGGTTTAACTCTCTTTAGTGCCTTCCCAAATTACCTTAACTAAACTCCAAGGAAACTTCTGGATAAGAAAGGGCAGGGGAATGGTAGAAAAATAAGACAAGATGTTGCAGTTCTCCTAAAATGAGATTTAGTGGGTTTCAGTAGGGAGCCCCCCAGCCAGGCAGAGACAGGGGGGATTTGCTCTCAGGCCTGAGGAGTGATGGAAATCCCACAAACACCAGTAAAGAGGAGATGGAGTAGCTGGATCCTGGCTCACCACAAGCATCCCTGCTAATTAGCAGCTGCTAATCAGGAAAGCTGGCAAGGAGAGGAGGTACAGCCCCCACTGCATCAACCCACATCAGTCCCAGCAGCTCCAGAGGACCAAGCCCACGTCAAGGCAAAGTCAACTCCGACAAAAACCTTTTCTCTCCCGAGAAGAGGCGCAGAGGCAAAGCCCAGCAGCAGCTGGTGTGGTACAGTACCTGCAACTGGAGCAGCCCCAGGCAGTGCACAGAAGGAAAAATAGAAATAAATCAACAGACAATGAGAATTAGCTCCTTTTTACAGCCCTGCAAGGAAAAGCAGCTTGCTAGCTCTGGATAAGATGGGGGGAGCCCCATCTGGAGATGCAAGGGGATGTTTTGGGGGCTGGAGGGGCTGTTCCCATGCAGTGACCCACCCCTGTCCCCCAGCTGCTCCAGGCTTGGGGAGCACAACCCCTTTTCACAGAGTGCTTGAAAGCAGACACAAACTATCCCCATCATAATGCAGCAATCACTGCAATTAATTAGTGACAATCATTATAATTAATTACACAAAATCATCGATACAAAATCCTCAGCCTCAAAACTTGCTGGGAGGAAGCATCACTCAGAGCAAGGAGCAGGGAATGGCATCCCACCAGCCTCTCCCTGTTTGCTTGGAGGCTCTGGATGTGTCACATCACTCCCCCAGGAGAGGGACAAGGACAATCCTCCATGAACACACCCAGATCTGCACCTGCACAGCTCGGGGTGAGAGCCAGAGGCTCCCAGCTCTGCCTGTGCCTACCCCTGCCTGCCTGGCTTGTCCCCACCAGCCCAAGGTCACCCACCTTCCAGATGCTGGCCTCCTTGCCATACACCACGGCCATGCTGCTCACTTTGTTGGCCTTGATGAGCTGTTTCTCGGTCTGGTTGAGCTCCTCTGACACGAAGCCCATGAAGGAGTTGTCGGGAGTGTGAGCTGTGGGCACCAAGGGGAGGAGACACGTGGCTGGACAGTTGTTTTTTGGGATGTCTCCAGGATTGGGGATACAGCCTGAGATGAGCCCAGCTCCGGAGTTTTGTTGGAGTATGGAGGAAAATGGAGCTTGAATCCCTGTTCAAGCAGCTCATGAAATCCAGGATTCAGCCCCACTTGAGCAGCTCTTCACACACTGAGGTGTTTTTAAGGCTGCCAGAGGGGCTTTATCCAGCCAGGAAAAAGCAATGCTTGAGTCACCCAGCAGCCAGTGGGACACTGGGCTCTTCTCAGGCCTGCACATCTCCCGTCCATGCCACAGGCTGCTGTCACATTCAGGATCCCAGCTGAGAGCAAACCAGGCTCTGTAACCAACACCACCCCAGCTGGAAGCTGCTGGCAGTGCCCTGACAGTGCTGGAGCAGTGGAAGGAGCCTGGTCTCTCTCCCTGGATCATTCTGTAGCCCAAGAGGTGGCCCAGCAGGAGCTTCTTGTGGGCAGGGGAAGCAGGAGCAGAGCCAGGGAGCACATCACTGCCTGAGCTTCACCTCATGGATTATCTCAGACCCTCAGAACCACCCTGGCAGGCCCCCACTGATGCCTTAAGTTTTATCTTTTACATTTTTCAGATCCTGTCCTGCATTAGGGTATAACTCTGAATTCCAAACAGAGTGTTAGTAAGCTCTCTTCACAGTTTGGTCAGACAGAACAATCCTTCCAAGCTTCAATTCAAGACTCAAGCACACTCCACAGCCTCAGGCCCCAAAAAGTATGAACAAAAGTGAATTGGGGGAAGCAAACTGGGGGAATATAACTTCATTACCTGAAGCTATAACTGGAGAATTAACCCCTGATATGCAAAAATACCAAACTTATATCATGACCACCATCCACCTTGGGTGCAGCCTCTGCCAGGCTTTTGCACAGCCCAAGGTGTATCTATAAAAGACCTTTAATAAACACCTACTTTATTATTTTAATACATTTTAACATCTAGGCTGTGCTGTAGGCAGCCTGTCCAGGCAGCAGCACTTACGGAACATGGTCATGAACTGGGTGGGCTGCAGGTTCCAGTAGCCCCAGTTGGTGCGGTAGCCGCGCAGCGTGGCGTACTCCTCGTGGTTGTAGGCCGGCTCTGTCCCGAACGTGTCGATCACCCTGACACGGCACCTGAGGAGCAGACACCCCCTGAGGACATCTGCTGTCCCCAGGAACCTCGTCCCTCGTCTGCAGCCCGAGCAGAGGGGTCCCAAGGAGCCCTTCCCAACGCTGCTCCCTCCCTGCAGGAGGATTTCCCTTCGCAGGACCCTGCCACAGTGATGAACCTCCCAAAGGATTATTAATGCCTTTCCCAATATCCTGGGAATGCTGAGGCAGGCACTACCAGCACAAGGCTGAGGAGAGAAGAGGAACAACAAGCAAGGGAAGAGCAAAACAAGCTGAATGCAAGAGCAAATGCATTTATAATAAAAGCAATAACGCAGCTTGTCATTTTTCTCTCTAATAAAATTGTGTAGGATAGTGGAAGAGATGGGAAAAAACATAATAAATAGCAGGTCTATCAGCACTAAATTAAATCACAGATTTTCCTGGCTGGTGATGTACCAGGGGACGATGACATTTGTCTTGATGCTCAAGGAGCTGGGGACAGGGCTCCTTACAGATTCCCAAGGCTCACACTCCTCTCCTTGCTGTGCCCACCCCTGGCTGCAGGAGTGGAATGCAAGCACACATCAACACACTGCAGGCACGTGCAGGGTCTGGTCTTTCCCCAACTCTCTCTCTTTTAATGAGGTTTTATCCTAAATATGTGAGGCTCAGAATGCCTCGTGCCCTGGCAGCAGGGGACACAGTAAGGCACCAGCCAGGCAAAAATCAAATGTAAAATTGGATCGGTCATTAGCATTAATCTTTGCTTGCTAATTAATGAAATGGAGAACAAGAGCAGGCAGTGGCTTTGCTTACCTGTATTTCTTAAAGGAGAGCCCCATATGCTGCTTCATCTGCTGGAGGCCGTGGTAGTCGGTGTAGATCAGGTCAAAAGGCAGAGGACTGGTCAAGGGGCAGTTCCCCCGTCCTGGAGGCACCCCTAAGTGACTGGGGAGAAGCAGGAGGATCAGCCCCCAGCACCACCAAAGGCCTGCAGCACAAACACTCCTTTCCCTGCTGAGCAGGAGCCATCCAACAGCTGCTCTTTGATGCAGGGGAACGCAGATGGTTCTCCTCGCTCCGGTTTTTATTTCCCAGGCCAAAGATCTGGAGAGTTCTGGTCCCTCCCCATCTTTGCACCTGCTCCAGCTGAGTTCCTGCTCCTCCCAGATGGACTGTGAGGCACAGCATTCCCAGCCAGGGCTCACCAGCATCCCAGTCACCACACACCCTCCCTTGGACCTCTCCTGTTGAAGACACCAGATTTCGTTTGCTTTCATTGCAGTCACACCAGTGACAGACTTGTAAAGCCACATCTTTCCTCTCCTCTCTGCCTGCAAGGCTCCCAGCTGAGCCTAAAGCTCCCTGTTCCCAGCTCTACATCCCTCCCAGCACACCCTGGAATGTTTTCTTATTCCAGTCCTTACCCACCACATCCCAAAGCACTCTCAGCTTCTCCTTGACTCTGCTGGCAATGCTTGTCCTTGGATGTTGGGCACATTTCATTCATATTTCTCACTTTTGGTCCCATCTATGAAATAATTCCATAAAACAGGGGCAGCTGGGCCCTGGGTCTCACTCAGGGGGTTTCCAGCCAGTTCCTTACAAACAGCCACACTCAGCCCCTCTTCCCTCATCCAGTGGATAAAATGCATTGTGCAAATCCAGACAAACTCGACTGACTGCAATCTCTTTATCAAGACCATCAGTTATCTCACTGCTAGGGTGAGATGTGATTAATCCAGCAAGATACAGGGCTGGTAAACCTGTTGTGTGTCTCCTTCAATTTCCAATTACCTCTGTGAACTGATGAATCCCTCTCTCCAAAGCTGTTCCACCAAGTGTACCACTGATGTCAGCCTGACAGCCCATCTGCTTGTCTGGACCATGTTTCCTCCTTCTCAGAAAAAAAACCCCCCGTGACACCTTCCAGCTTCAGCAGGTTTCTCAAAAATCCATGTTGCTTGTACTTGTGATTTCCCAGTGCCAGTTTGCTCAGGAGCTGATTCACTCTGCAGTTTTAATGCTCTTGTATTTTGTTTTTCCTCCTAAAGATGATAATTCTTCATCCTCATAACTCCACTCACACCCAAAAAGCAGCAGCATCCTCATGGAAAACCAAACTGCTGAGCTGATTTGGTCCACCCAGGCTGTCTCACTCCCACCACGCAGTTGTCCCGTTTTGTTCTCAGTCCTTCCAACAAGGCTGAGGAATTCCTGTTTCATTTCACAAGTCTGAGCTCAGAAATCTCACCCTTAGCTCCTGCCTGCCAGGACGTCTGTCTTTGTTTTCTTCTGGGCTCCTCACTTACCCCAAACCCCTCTTTGGAGATGGGAATTTATCCCAGCCATGCCTGTAGGTATTTTCTTTTCTTTAAGGAATAAAAGTTCTGCTCAGGTTTTACACTCCCAGACTTTGAATCTTTTCTTCTCTTACTGGTTCTCTTAATTTCTCTGCATTTTCCCTTCTGAACCTGAGAATTCCCTTCCCAGCCCTACCTGGGTTTATCTGTTCCTCAGCTGAAGCACAAAAGGACCCACAGCCCCACAGTCCATCCTCTGAGGAACACTTCCATAAGGTCCTTACCCCTTGCTGAGCCCTTCAGCATTTCACCTATCAATCCCATGGCTGTTTCCAGAGGAAATCCATGGCTTTCCCATCCAGGGACACAATTATCACAAGGATTTGCCCTCCAGTCTCTCACTAACATCAGAAGGGGCCACACAGAGCCAGCTGACCATAAGAAATATGATAAAGGGCTCTTGGTTGGCTTCTGTCCACACCTCCCTGTTCTTCTGAACCTGATCTGGTGGAAGATGCCCCTGTTCACTGCCAGGGTTTGGACCAGAAGACCTTTAAAAGGTCTCTCTGAACTCAGACTTTTCTATGATTCCTTTCCTATGATTCTGATGTGGTTCCGAGTCCTTGAGCACTGAGCACCAAGATCCAGCCCCATCCCAACCTGACACCGGTGAAGGGTCACCCCAAACTCCTGACCATGCCAGGGACTCCAGAAAATGTGTAAATGTGGAACAACCTCGCTGGCCAAAGCCAGGAAAAAGAGAGAATTTCAATTTAAGATGAAGAGCTGCTTTTGCAGCTGCTTCATTGCTCTTGTCACAAGGAATCTCAGCAGCAGCTCAGGGCGGCCTGGCCGGGGATGCCGCAGGGGGAACAGGTTGCAGTTTTGTCACTTTTATGCACAATTTTACATGACAGGACTGATTGGGAAGATGGCAGGAATGGAAAGGCTCTCACCTCCCACAGCCACCTCGGTACAATAAATAGGGCACCAAGGAGACTCAACCTCCCGGGAAGGCTGAAGGGGAATTTTTAAGCCAGGATTTTGTAGAGATGGAATTCTAAACAACACATTTGCTCACACAATGCTGCTTTTCCCTCAGTCATCAGACAAACAGTGATTTACACCAGCCTGCACTGTGGTGGAACCAATCCATAAACCTTGTATTTAACTAAAAATCCCCAAACCATTACACTGTGCTTGCAGCACACACCATCCTCTAGCTGGTACATGTCACACAAGCCACTGCACTACAAAATAATCTGTAATTTAAGGAAGCCCTAACCAAGCTTGACGAGGGGCTGCAGGAAGCAGCAATTAGTGTAACTCATGCTGAAGCCTCCAGAAAAGTTCCCACAAGTTGGGGAGAGCAGGTCTGACTCTCCCAGCTCCCATCAGCACCGCAATCTGCCACACATCCCCTCTCCAGGTGCTCAGGACTTGCCACATCCATTTATACTCTGTGCCATGGCTACGTGGCTGGAATAGCTCTGAGAGCAGAAGCAGTGGCTTTGAGCAGAACATCTCTTCATTTACCCCCTTTATCCTCCCTAAACACTTTATAACCACTGATTTTAATATTCCACTCATGCAAATCCAGCCTGCACTTCTGAGATGGGGGTGGGGGGAGAATTTTTTTTTTATTCCTCCTTATTTAAACATTCTTTATTCAGGCTTTCATCATTTGCCAGTTAAGTCAACTAATTTTCTACTAAACCCAATTTCACTCATGGTTGGAGTGCAATTTCCCTGATTTTTCCTCGTGCCATGTACTATTAATGGCGCTTGAAATTACGCAAATAAAATTGATGAGCGCAAACGCCGCCTTCGCAGCCCAGGGACCTGCTGTGGAAACCACCTGATGCCAGCCCCTGGGGAAACCTCCCCTCCCAGACCAGCCAAGGGTGGTGACCAGCTCAGCACCTCTGGCTGGCCATCCAGGGGCTCATCCCATCCCCAATCCCAGATCAGAGTGTCGGCTGAGCCCTGGCTTCTCTCCGCGAGGGAGCAGCCGGAGCCGCTCCCATCCAAGCGGATGCCGCGCTCGCCTCTCCACCAGCTGCCTCCACCAGCTGTGCCTACTCCAGAATAAATCTCCAGCAGCTTCTTGTCCTGCTATTTTCCTCTCAGAGGTACTTTAATCAGCCAGGGGACCATCCCCTCCCTGGGCACAGTGCAGGCGCTCTGGAGTCAGATGATGAGGGGTTATCTTTACATCCCATTGACCTATTTTCAAATTAACCCAACGTTTCTTTCCGCGTTATCGCTCCTGGTGCTGAGAAGTCCAGCACTGAATGGATCTCATGGGCATCTCCTGGCAGCCTGGGCCAATATTCTGTATTATATTTAATTGCATTTTCTCTGCCCACATCTGCTGCCATCAGCAAAGGCTGAGAACGGAGCAGGGATCCTGTCCTCGCTGCTCCCTCACCTTCTCCATGGCTGCGAGCGCCCAGCAGGCACTGGGATGTTATCCAGGGGTGAAAGGTGTCAGAGCCAGGCCTGAGCAGATCCCAGGGGTCTGTGACAACCCCATCACAACCAACAAGTGCAAATCTAAGCCCACAGAATGAACATCCTACTGCCTGCCCTCTGCTCTTCGCCCTGCTGGAATGAGCACTCCCTGGAAAGGAGGATTTCCAAGCAATTTCAACACCTGCAATGGTTTCACTTTTGCAAGGTGCACCTGGACTGTTTCTCTGGTCCATCATTGATCTTGTATGACACAGCCCCATGCAGGGGGGAAGTTCAGTTATCCATTTATTTATTTCCAGGACCTGGAGATGCACAGGATGGTGCCAGAACAAACACTTCTTTGTGGTTGTGGATTCAGCAAACATGAAGGAACTTCCCAGGAAAGGAGAAATCAATACTTGGATTCCTGCAGGGAGCAGCAGAAACTGAGCACTAACATGCTGGTGGTACCTGGGCAGACCCTGAGACTATTCTCCTGCTGTCACAGGAGCTCCAAAAAAAAGAAGAAATTCTTCCTTGTGAGGGAGATGAGGCCCTGGCAGAGGCTGCCCAGAGAAGCTGTGGCTGCTCCATCCAGGGGAGTGCCCAAGGCCAGGTTGGACTCGAGTACCAGGAGCACCTGATGCTCTGTTAAAGGCTGAAGGTTCCTCCCCACCAGTGCAGAGCTGATCAATCCACAGCCTCTCCATGCAGATCCATCAGGATCACACAGATCTGGCCACTTCTGGCTGTTTCCATAAGCAGTTCCTTTCTCTCCCACACAACAGCAGGACTGGTTTTTCCAGCTGGCGAGGGGAGTGAAGCCAGAGCCTGGGCATGGTGCAGGTTTTCATATGAACAGATGCAAGACAGAAAGATGGCTTTTATCTGCCAGGAGACAATTAGAAATGTGCTTTCTGGACGTTGTGTTTCCATCTGAGCTGCCCTTTTTGCAGCCTGAGCACACCTCAGTGAGCATGGAAAGTGCAGGAAAATCACAGCTCTTGCTGTGTGCCAGGCACTGAGAGGAGAGTGGGGGCAGTGGGAGCAGAGCTTCATCCCACCACAGCTCCAAGGCTCCATCCACCCCACCCCAGAGAGGGTGGCTCAGCACCCAAACCACACACTGGCCACAGCAGGGAAAGGGCTGCCAGCACCGGATACAGGCACGTGCTTCAAATCCAGCGCTTTGACAGGACCAGAATTGAGTCCAGAACTTGACACAGGAGCAATTAAGCTCCGGGAACACTTTGTAAAGCCCTGACCCCAAGAGGCATCAAATCCCATTTTCTTCGACTTTCTGTCCTGCTTTATGAGCAGTTAATTTCGAGGGGACCATTGAGAAAAGCACATTTCAGTGCTTTTCTGAAGTCCCCAGCAGCTCACAGCTGTGCAGCCACTTCTCCCCCAGCCTCTCCCTTAGCCCCAGAAAAGCAGTTGGACATGCCAAGATGACCACTCCCATGGCTCAAGGACGAGGGAAGGATCTGGAACTTCCAGGCATTCCCCTTGTGCTGCTTCTCCCAGGGAAAAGGCTGACAGGATCCTTCCTGCCTGACCCCAGAGCACAGGTGCTCCAGAGGAAAAGCCTCAGCTTATTAAAGCTTTTTTTCCGCGGGCACAGCCATTGCTCCAAAGCGCTGCTTGTAATTTTCCAGCATCTACTCATGAGCTGCCTCATTACCAACCCAGCTCAGAGCTTTCAGGCACTTCCCACTCCTCCCCTAGCAAGCAACAACACCAACACTGGCCTGGTTTCTCACCTCCCTGAAAGCACTTTTGGGCTACCAACACAGCACCAGGGGTCTTCAGCAAGATTCAAGTGTTGGCGTTCACATTTGGGATGTTTCTTCCCTCCCTGCTTCAAGACAAGGCTCAAAATGCTGCTGGCTGCCCACCCAGCACAAATCTCAGAGAGAAAACAGCTCCTGGCTCCCCGCTCCAGCTGGGCAGTTCATTTTCCTCCTGGGAAGATGCACATAGAAACACTGAATGGTTTTGGGTTGGAAGGGAACAGATAACTCAGTGTTTCACCCCTTGACTCTCCAGAGGCACCAGAAGCAGCTCACAAATTCACTGGGGGTTCAAACGAGAGCAAACACCTGCGCTTAGCTCAGCAACAGGAGGAAAAATAGCCCCTGGTAGGACTCGGCAGTGGAATTCACAGATCTTTACAGTCGGTAGTGGATAAAAGGTAACCCAAATAAACTGGCCCTGGAAAACCGGGGAGGAGCTCCGTGGCTGTGATCTCAGACTTCACAGGGATATTTGGACAGTGCTGAGCTGGGGATGAAGCCGGCAGATTCCCTGAGCTCCCTATCTTTGTTTCAGATTAGCATCGGTCCCTAAAACAAAGGAAGAACCGTTTGACACCCCTGCCCCTCACTGCTGGCCAGGGAGATGTGCCCAGCACACATGGTCACACTCCCAACATGTTTTCACCCCCAGCCCTCCATCACCAGCTTTTTTGATCAGGGCCTTACTTCTCCTCCTTCATATTCCTGATCCTCAGCACTCCTGATCCAATCCAGACCCAATCCATGCACTGCTGCATTGCAATCAATACAGATGCTAATCATGAACAACTCTCAGATAACCGCTGGCTGAAGTGTATGCAGGCAAATCTTCCAGTGATCCCTTGCCAGTGATCAATACATGCAGAAAAATCAGCTCAGAAATTTGGAGAGACAAAAAAAAAACCCCAAAAAACCAACAAATCAGGAGAGAGGTTAATCTTTGCTGAATAATTTATGGACTCCAGTGAAGGCTTTGCTGGGTGGGAGCAGCTACAGCTCCCAGCCATGAAAAGAGCAGGGGTTGCCAAAGAAAAATACACAAGGATGGATTCAACGTTTCACACTGCTGGAGTAAAATATCCCCAAACCCACCCCGACACTGCTGCCTGTCCTGCTGCACGGCCAGCAAGAGACACACAGCATGGGAGAGGACAAATTCAGGCCCAGTCTGCAGAGGCACAAAGCTTTGCTGCTTCAGGAGGGTGCAGAAGGCAGGAAGGATAAGGGATCAGAGTGCCCGGGCTGCCGCTTCCCCCGTGACAGGGATTTAGCTTTGCTGCATCCCTGCAGCCCAGCTCCAGCCCTTTGTGCATCTCTGGCTCTCTGCAACCCCTCCCCAAAGCTGTGGCCACAGGTAAAACCCCCTCCAGGCTTTAAGGAAGAGCCCAAGATTAACTCTTAGCACGCCTCAGGACTAATTACACGTGTTCTGCTAAGCCTCCCAGTCACTCCTGGTCAGGCAAAAGCTTTTTCCAGCACTCCTTAGAGGCACCAGCCCAGCAGCAGGAATGTCACTGAGAGATCTGCAGGCACCAGGATTGCTGGCACCACTCGGGCCTCCCCTAGCACAGAACCTCTGTCCCTCGTGACATCCCATTAAACCATCTCTTGATGGGCTGCACCAAGGTGCCAGTGGTGACCCCACAAACGCTGGGCTTGGTCTCCAAAGGGACAGAGGGGACGTGGTTCCATCCCCAGGTCCTGTCTCACCCCAGCCCATCAATATGGAAGTGAGCACTTGGTGTGTGTGTCCAGCATTTGAAACATCAGAAAGCCAGGCACAGGACACGTGCTCGGGGAGGTGGGGACATTTTCTGGGACAAAGAGAAGGGCAAGATGTGCAGCCCCAGCCCGGCTCACACACTTCCCATCTCAGCTACAAAGGGGAAGAGATGGCATCCCAAGGAACACATCCAAATCCACGTCCCAAGAGGAGCTCTCATCACTGCCAAGTGACCTGGAAGCTGCCAGGCTTCTGGCAAAGGCAAAATACTACAGGCACAGGGCAGCTGTCACCAGAGTCACTTGCAGAGGAAAACGGGTGCTGCAAAACCACCCCGTGAGACCCCGGCAGCTCCTTCCCCTCCCTGAACAACCACCATGAGGTTTGTCATTAAAAAACACAAACAAGAACCACACAACAGCAACAACATAACCCTCCCAGCCATTAATTCCTTTCATCCTTGAGTACACGGCTATCATTTAGTACATCATTCCCGCCTCTTTGAGGAGATGCTGCCTCTTGCATTAGGACCGGGTTGTTTTTTTTTTTAGTTAATTAGTTAGGAGCTAATTCCATTCATTAATTCGGAATGCTTCAGAGACTGAGTTGGGGTTTTTTGTTGTTTTTATCCAGGATTGTTGGGGTTTTTTCACTCCCTTTTCAGCATGGCTCATTATGTGGCCAGCGCTGGCTTAGCATCTCCCAAAGCCTGCCCAGTCCCCGAAGAAGCTTCAGGCTGTCCTTGATTTCTAAACCATCTAATTTGCAATTTCCCTGGTAGTGCCAGACAGGCAGGCAGGAAGGCAGGCAGGAAGGAAGGAGCCCAGCAGGGAGCATCCCTGGGGAATGGGGTGGGAAAGGGAGTTTTCCCGTGGCCAGCTCCAGGCAGGTGTCAGGGGACACAGGTTATGCTGTGTGCTGGTGATGCTCTGTGTGCTGAAGCCACAGAGCACAGCCCCACTCCAGGTATGTCCACATCAGCTCCATGCAAAGCATCACTCCACACCAGTGCTTCCCACTTTCCTAGGATGTAGAAGGATGAGATCTCTCCCAGCCATGGTGCTGGTGGCACAGTACAGCACCAGCCCTGTCTGAGATGCAGGTGGGCAAAGAGCCTCCCCCAGCCTTTTTGGATCTGGTGCTTCCACCCAAGACCTCAATGCAACCCAGCACCCACCTCTGCAGCTCCTTCAGGGAGACCGTGACCCTCAGGCTGTGTCCCAGCATGAAGAGGGCAGCCAGGATGTCAGCCCACTGCACCATCTCACCCAGAGGGCCTCCCTTCAGCACCCGTGGGCTGAAAACATCCCCCGACTCCTCTGTCAGGAAGCCAATATGGATCAAGATCTGCAGAGACAAGGAGAGGGATCAGCACTGGGGAAAAGGACAATTTGGGTTTTCCAGCCCAGAATGACTTATGGGATGAATTTTTGATTCCCTCCAGCTCCTTGGCAGGCTGTAATTACTCAGGGAGCTCAGTCAGGTGTGCAGACAAATGATCTATGTCCAATTAGCACAGACCCAATGGTCAGAGCTTGGCAGCTCCCTCTGAGTGCCACTCTGTGTCCCAGCGCCTGGCTCGTGTTGTCCACGTCCATCACAGTCTGCACCATGGGCTGGAGCTGGATTTCCCAGCACACAGGGGCCAAAGGAAAAGGCACAACAAAAACACCAACAGGAATGCCAGCAACCTCAGCTTATCCTCAGAGGAGACCTGTCAGGCTCCAATGGAGCTGGACACCATCTCCACCCACCAGGACCCATTTCCAAAATCCACCCCGTTGCTCAGCAACACCAACCCTGCCACATCCCAAAAGCCTGCGGGGTCATGTCCATGACAGACCACCCCTACAGACCCACACACTTCCATAAACAGGTTTCCTCCCAGCTGGCTCCCATCCCAGCTGTCCCTGGGCTCAGCTTCCCCCTCTGTTCCCTGAGAACCCCCCGTACGTGTTTCTGGTCCCGCTGCCGTCCCGCCAGCTTCTGCTCGAGGCGCCGCGCCGCCCGCAGCCACTGCTGGGCCAGGTGCCGGATCCTCTTCTTCATGAAGCTCAGGGACTCCTTGCCCGTGCCGATGAGCTCCAGCAGGCGAGCCAGGTCCCTCCGGAAAGCTGCCTAGGGAAGGAGCACGCTCTGCACGGTGAGTGTAGGGAAAGCGGCCGCCAGAGGAGCCCCTGGGCTGTCCCGCGGCCTGGCAGAGGTGATCTGAGTCCTTCCTGCTCCCCTGGAGCCATCACTGCTCCTCCACTTCATGTCCCAAATCCCAGAGGGATCCCACTGCACCGAGGGCTCGTGAGAGCCCGATTCCTCAGGAGAGGAAAGGCAGGGGAGTGTTGGAGTGGGTCCAGAGGGGGCCACAAAAATGATCGGAGGGATGAAGCATCTGTGCTGTGGAGACAGACTGAGGGAGCTGGGGGTGCTCAGCCTGGACAGAGAAGGCTCCAGAGAGATCTTTTTGCAACCTGTCAATACTTACAGGGGCTTATAAAAAGACAAGGTCAGACTTTTTAGCAGGGTCTGTTGCAAGAGGACAAGGAGCGATGGCTTTAAACTAAGAGAGTTGACTCAGACTAGATATAAAGAGGAAACTTTTTATGGTGAGGGTGATAAAACATGAGCACAGGTCACAAAGAGAAGTGGTGGATGCTCCATCCCTTGAAACATTCAAGGCCAGGTCGGGCAGGGCCTGGAACAACCCGTTCTACTGCAAGGTGTCCCTGCCCATAAAGATCCCTTCCAACACCAACCATCCTGTCATTCTATGAAAAAAACCACGAGAGGCATCACGGCCCCACTGACACTGATGATTATTTCCAGCAGCCTTGATGCCAATGCCTCTTCCCAAAGCCCGGGGCCCAGCAGGAGCCAGGCTGGGCCCACCTTACCTGCACCCGCGGCGGCGGCGAGGGCATGGCCACCGTCCGGTTTCGCCAGGGCAGGGGGGGACAGAACCACTCGACCTCGCTGAGGTAGATGAGGAAGGAGCACTCGGTGCCGTCCACGCCAAAAAACGCATAGCAGGGGTCAGAGGTCCAGCGGGCCCTCATCCACTGCAAGGGGCAAAGAAACACGTGGGGCTCAGGGAGGAGATGTGCCGGCCCTGCCAGCTGCCACTGCTGTGGAAAACCTCTGATCTCCGTCCCCCTTGTCTGTCTGGGGGATAAAAATGAAGGGCAGAGGGTGGAGAAAGGGCTGCAAACCCAGCCCCTGTGCCACGGGCTGATGTTCACCCCTCGGTGCCTCCAGGGAATGCCGGGCAGAGGAAGAGCCAGCAGGGTTTGCTGGGGACCCCCTGGGTTTCTAGCACTGGTTCCATTCTTCCCTGAGGGCACAGCCATTAATCCCCAGGAGATGATGCACAACAGGGATTTCTTCTGGCTGGCTTTGCTGGGGAGCTGCTGATCTCATCGCCCCTGGAGCAGCAGGGCAAGGACACAGATCTGCCAGCAGTCCCCAGGGATGATTTCACATGGAGGAGAACAACCAGGGACCAGAGCAGCGATTTATCATCCCCCACAAAGGCTCTTGCCAGCCTCTTCCTAATTCAACTACAAAAACAAATCTGCTCAGGGACTGGTTGCTGTGCCCAATCTGTAAAGCACAGCAATCACCAGGAGGGGAGATGGGATTACAGCCTTCCACAATTGCATTACACCCTGAATTTACTCAAATCATGGAAGGAAAGGATGGCTAACACCCATGGAAGAGAAAAATCCAGCCCCCCTCCAATATCATTTTCTTACACCCTTCAACTTCTTCTCAGGGAGACTCAACCCTGCAAAAGAGTGAGCTTGAAGCAGGTTGGGAAGAGGAGGGAAAACGGCGATGCTTTTAATTAGTTGATGTAAATGTGCTCTCTGACAAAGCCATCATGCTCTGGGCCAAGTGCCAGGCTGCATTCTGGTGTGAAGAGCAAGCTGGGTGAGGCAGGACATCCGACTTGAGATGGAGGTGCTGCTCTGGGCAGTGCTGGGCTTGTTCCCCAGACACCAGGGAATGCTCCATATATTCAGAGATGATGTGTCAGAGCTTTCTGCTCACTTTGCTTCTGGCATTAAACACACAAACTGCAGACAGGGAGGGCTGCAGGCAGAGATGCTCTCACAGCTGATTCCACTGCATTCTGTGGCGTCAGTGCTTTGTACCACTCCAGCTAAAGGTACATTTGGGGAGGGAATTATTGGGGGAAAACAACCCCATTTCTGTAGCAAAGGCTGCCAGAAAAGGTTGGATGCCTCCCTTGTGTTTTCTCATCAAAGCACTGCCCTGCTTTGCTTTCCACACCTTTGGCTCTGCTCCTCCTCCATCAATGGGCTGCACCTTTCCAATATTAACAAACATTCTATTCTGGAAAACATCCCATTCCCCATTGCCCTTCCCAGTTTAGCCCCCAGGGCCACTGCTCTGGGCCCTTCCCCTCCCAGCAGCTTCCATCCCAGCCAGAGACCCTCTCCCAGTCAGGGAACCCCAACTCACCTCCACCTTCCCAGCACAGTCGGGGTACTTGGGGTCCCGGGGCACCTCACACTGATCCCTCCTGCCTTCCATCACTGCAGAGAGACAATTTGGGCATGGGGAGAGCTGGGGTGTGACAGAGGAGCAGCTAGAAATGCTGTGAGGAGATTGGGATGGGATGGGATGGGATGGGATGGGATGGGATGGGATGGGATGGGATGGGATGGGATGGGATGGGATGGGATGGGATGGGGCTGGCAGCCCCCAAAGATGTTCATTGATGCCACAGCTGTGCTGGGAGAGAGCCCCATCCAACTGGATGGAGCAGGACATCAAGATGTGAAGCAGCTTCAGGATCCTTCCCAAATCAGAGACAAAACAGAGGAAACCACCCTGCTTCAATGCCAGGAAGGTCTCCCTTCCCTAAATCTCAGCAGGTCCATTTCCAGCACTTCCCTGTGCCCTCTGCCTGGTCCAGACCCCAAGTTCCACCTATCCCCACTCTTGTAAGCAGGCTGCAGGATCTAGGGAAGTACTTGACAAGTTTACGCTGTAAGCTTGATATAAAAGCTGTCCTGCTGAGCTGCTGGAAGAAGACTCAGCCCACAGGGTGAGTTCCAGAATAAGCCATAAAGTGGCTAAAAAGGTATCAGGATCTTTTCTCCTCCCATGGTTGGGTGAATAAAAGCCACCACCCCTCCTCTAAGCCCTCCTTTGCCCATAATTGAAAAGCATGAGGTGCAAGAGGCAGTGGGAGGATCTCCTGCCTCAGCCCCAAGAACCATGCAGCCATGTGGGGAAACATCTGCAGAGCCCAGCTGCCCTCCCAGCAGTGCCACAGTGGGATGGAAATGTCTCTCCTGGTGCTGAATCCCAACCTCTGTGAATTTGGATCCAAACCACCAAATTCTTCTATCCAGGTGCCTGTGCTGGCACCGCTCCTCACCTTTAATTTCACATTTAATTCCCTGGCATTTATTCCTGACAGCCACTCAGATTTGTCACCACTTGTTCCCCCCTGGCAGGCACAAGTTTTCCAAGGGAGGAGCCTCAAGATCAGCCTCCATTTCTGGGACTTTTACCAAATTTGTCATGGTTGGACCTTCCCATGGGCACAGCAAAACACACAGGGGGTTTGGAGTGGGGACCCCAGGCCCACTCACCTTTCCCATTCAGGAGGCTGTTCCGGAGAATCTGATCCACCTTTATTGCAATGTCCGACACGTTTTGAGCTATGGCCTGGATCCTCTCCATCAACCCAGCTGCTGGCTGGAACCTGGGAAAGAAACCAAATTAACCCTGAGAACTTGATGTCTCCCAGTGGTGACACTCAGAGGTGCTCAGAGAGAAATCCATGCTCTTGGAAGCTGCCAGCAGGTTGAACTTAGCTCCAGGGTGAAACATGGGAATGCCTGGTGCAGAATTTAGCAGGCAAAGAAGTCACTTTCTTCCAGGAGTTTTGATTGAAAACCTATTTGAATCAGTATTTTATACATATTCTGCCATTTTTTTGCAGTGTGCTGTTAAACATGGATCCACCTGTGCATTTTACGTGGGGAAAATATTAAACAGACCGCCAAAAAGATGTTTTTTCTTATTTCAGATGTGCTGTGTTTGAAAATCCTCTGCTGTGATTATTTGCCTTGCAGTAGGAAAAAAAATGGAGAAAAAGAATAAAAATACAGGGAAAAGAAGGTAAAACTGAGGAGGGCTGAGGAGGTTTGTGGGCTTGAAGCAGAGTGATGAAAAACAAACAGGACACCTGGATGCCCTGAGCCAGCCCATCCACCTAAGGTGGGGATCAGTTTGTCCTCCCAAGGAACAAGTGACAAGACAAAACAGCCTCAAGTTGCACCTGGGAAGGTTTAGGTTGGATATCAGGAAAAATTTCTTCACTGAAAGTGAAGCCAGGCATTGGAACAGCCTGCCCAGGGAAGCAGTGGGATCATCATCCCTGGAAGTGTCCCACAGATCCCCAGATGTGTTTCTCAGGGACATGGGCTAGGCAGTGCTGGGTCAATGGTTGGACTTGAGGATATCAGAGGTGTTTTCCAACCTCAGGGATTCTGAGATTCAGGTGGGAGGACTTCCAGGACCCCAGCAGGGAGCTGTGCAGGGACAGGGAGCTGGGGCTGAGGAGGGGATTGCAGCCCCAGCAAAGCCCACAGGGACCTTCCACCAAGGTCAGATCCCAGCAGCTCGGATAGCTGCACGTGCTTCCATGGAATCAAACCTGGAATCAACACTGTCCTGGGTGAACAGCCCCGCTGAACTCATCTAAGGAACACATTTTGTAAACAGAGCCCTGTAAAGAGGCTGGAGGTCACTTAAAACCTGGAATAACCTGGAAAAGGGCAAAGAGAACTCCATCCATCAGCAGTGGAGCCCTGCCACTCCAATGCCTCCCCTGCCACTTCCACCACAAACAGCCACCACGTCTCCAGGAGTTATCCCAGTAAATAATTTCCCCTCCTGCAGCGTTTGGGTCGTAAGTTTTCCCTCCCGCTGCCGCTGAGGTCATTTTAATACAAGGGAATGTCACATGCAGTGAGCAAAACCAAAAGGGCTACCTTGAATACTCGTGGCACAAAAAATATGTGCTGATGTCAGGTCCTTCGTGGTGAAGTTTTATGTTTGTTCTCCAGCAGATCAGTGAACCTGAAGGCTGGGATTTAAAGTACCTCTGTCCTCAAGGCTAAAAAAATCCTGGTTTTATGAACCGACACTGCTTCGGCTGTTGATTTAAAGTCCATTTGCCAGCAGCGAGCAGCCCACATTTTTCCTTCTGGCATGGTTTACGACCATCAATATTCAGGCTGCATATCTCTACAGGGAGCCACTGATCTTGGGCTTTTAAGAAATAATAATTAAATGCAGAGGACACCATTGCCCCCGAGTCACTACCAACCTTTGCAGAGAATAAACCCCAGGTATCCTGCTGTAACTGCTGCAGCAGGGAGGCTGCTCGTGAGGCCCTGGGAAAATATGGGCACAAAAATAACCTGAGATAAGCTTTGCTTGTCAGCATGGCTCCGAGGAGATAAAATTGTCCTGGTCTGAAAGCTCTCAAACCCCCATTTCTGCAACCATTTTTCCACCAGCAAGCAGCCATCAGACCCTACAGGTGATGCAGAGGCACTCAGTAAACACCTGGGATGGGCAATTTAGGAGAAAATATCACATGGATGCAGTGAATTTAGAGCCAGTGAGCCCAAACTCCTGTTTCAACAGGAAAGGATGTGAAGATGCTCTCCAGGTTTCTCCATCACTCATGGCAAGGAGAGAGGATGGGCACAGCCACAACAGCACTGCTCTCGCCCTTCAGATTAGCTCACAGTCTGGCTTCTGCCTCTTCCCAGAAGGTATCATGGTCCTCACTTGCTCCCAAACACAAGGAACCAGGTGAGCCTCAAAAATCAACAGCAGCCTCAGTCCCCACCTCCTCACTGATGACCTCCAGACCTCAGCTCAGCCAGGGCTGAGCACTGGGCAGCCACAAAAACTCTCAAACAAAAATCAGGATCGTTGTCCTAAATAAATGGTTTTTTTCCAGCTCAGCCTTGTCCTGCCTGGCAGCCACAGTGCTGGGTGATGGAGCTGGCCCAGGCTCTGTGCCAGCTTGCCCAGCTCTTGTGAAGCTACAACTGCTTCCCAAACACAAAGATTTCACCTCAAATCCCTTAGATGCAAAATGTATTTCTGAGCATCACACTCCAGTCCCCCAAACAAGCCAGGCATCGCATGAGCATCACAAGGCTTTCCCCAAAACACAGGATTACTCGAAAATGGCACTAAAAATATCCACCATGACTCTTGGAACATACGAGAGGGGAAAGAGAAAGGTAGAAAAGTCTCTTTGAAACACAGAACCAGGCTCAGATCTTCCCATGCTCCTCACCCTTGCATGTCAAACTGGCTGCCTGCAAACCCTGATGACTCTGAGTGAGGGATTTCACAGCTGGGGAGAAGAGCCACGCTCCCAGAGCACTGCCAGGTCCCAGTGTTTGTATCTGCTGGGTAACAAGGCCATCACAGGAGCAGCAAATTTCCTGTAAGGCATTAAAGAGGTGACAAGCAGGTTAAGCATAAGTTACATTAACTATCAGCACAGCGATTTGTCACCCAGGCAGGGGATGAGAAAATAAGGCATTTAAAGGTGTATCTCCAATGTGAAAAGGTTCTGTGTGCCTCGTAGGAGGTTGATGCCTTGTTGTTAGTAACTGGAGACACCAGAGGGACAAGGCAAGTGGTTTATTCTGCTCAACAACAGCTCAGCAGAGCAGGAATATCCCACCAGGTGGTCGTATCCAAGCCAGGATGCCAGCACAGCCCTTGCCAGCCCAGCAGGAAAAAAAATCTCCTTTCTTCCAGCACCACCACTGCCCAGGGAGCAGCTTTTTGCCTTTTCCCTTTTCGCTTTTTAAATTTTTCCATAGCGACATGCTAAATGCCACCAAAATATGCTGGCACTGTGCCAGCTATTGAAACTCTACTAAATTACCACAGCTTTTCTAGAACAATTTTTTCCCTGGGACCTTAAAACCGTTTACTACAGCAAATACAGTACTTTTACTCCTAACCATCAATATAGATTTCATCTTTATTATTTTCAGATTTATATTTCCCCCTGTTGATTAAGATTCAGATCACACCGTGCCTTATAATGCTCTGTATACAGTATTCATCTCCTTTCAGAAACTGCTATTAAGATGTATCTTTCCCCACTGACAGATCATTTGCCATAGAATATAGCTGGAGGTTGGGTTTTCTGTCACTTTTTTATGCATTAATTTGGTTCCCTTCACTTTGCTCTTGTCCCCAACTCCGCAGCACCAGCTCGGATTCAGCCTGTTTATCCCTTTACAAGCCACTGTATTTTTATTGCCTTTTATAAAAGTGGCATTATGAAAAGATGAATCTCTTTCTCTTTGTGTGTTGTCTTCATAATACAAGCCCTAAACATATTTGCTTGCTCATCCGATATTTCTTGCTATTAACTTGTGAAAGCCATGGCTTTGGGAAGACCAATACAGATGGAGAAAAGCAGATGTTCTGAAGATAATACATCAACAAATTCAGCATTTGCACAGAGCAGTTTACCAAAGGATTTCCACTTGCTCACATCCAGTGTCTGTGCTGCCATTTGCCTCTTCAAATATTTTTTTAAGTTTTTGCCCAAAGGCCCAAAGCAGGGCAGAAAGCAGCAGGGCTGGTGCTGAGCTCTCACTGCTTCACTGCTCTGGGGACACAAATCACATCCATCCCCACAACAGCCAGGACAGGGAGCTGAAATCTCACAGGCAGCACTGATGGCCAAGGGAAAAGGATCTTTCCAGGCCTCCTGGTTCCTGCTGCAGCTTGTGAGGTGTTGCCTGTTGAAACAGCTGGGATATCCCCAGGAGAAATGAGCCCAAGGGCATCTCCAGTGGGTCACCCTGAGGGCTCAGGCTGCTCTTCCTGTCCATCCATCTGTCCCTTGGAAAACACTCAGAGTCACCCAACTCTGTGAAGTCACCAACTCGGGGCCTGGAAAACTGAGGGGTCCCAGGGGTGTGGGTAGAAGCCCTCATCCAAGTGCTGGATAACTAAAAAAAGTCATTTAAATGTCCAAGAAGATGGAGGAATTAAAAGCTTTGCTCCACTAACATAAGAGAATGCAAGTAAAACTCATCCATGCTGGAGCAGCAAACATTTCTGGGAGATCCATGCCGTTGTGTGTATCTCCACATCCTCTCTGAGATGGCTTGTACCCAAAACTCCAGAAGCCAGAGCTGCCCATGTGGGAGAGGGCAGGACACAGACCCAGGGGGTTATTGGGTGGCTGATGCTCTAAAATTTGTGTCACAGCCCCTTGATACCGATGACCCCAGCACAGGAGGTGCAGCAGGAGAGGCCGGGGCAGGTACCCTGCTCAGGAGGTTGGGCTGTGCAGTTCATGTTTATTGGCCTTGTAATCCTGGATTTAATCCTCATGGCTCCAGTGCTGTTCCCCTGAGCTGGGATGAGCAGCCAGGGCTGGGACTGAGCTGCTGGTCCCTGTGGTGGGAGGGCAGCACAGCCCCTGCTGGGATGGGAAGCGCAGGGAGTGTTCCACATCCTGCCCCACTTGGGAAAGGCTCAGGCCCCCAGGGAGCAGAGCAAAAGCCCAAAGCTCTGCTTATGATCACTTTGGCAGAAACTCAGAGTAGCATTAGAGGGAAAGGAGTGCAGGGGCTGAGGCACAGTTCTCTCTGCTTTGCTCCCCCTGGACGGGGCTCTGCCAGGTAGCTCAGATCC